CACACACTGAATCACAGTAACCAGGTACACACAGAGACTTTTAAAGTCCTGCATTTTAGGAAGGTATTCCTCAAACTTAACTGTACAGACCTGTCCTTCAAAGTCTAAGATTTCCAAAAGCTTGAAAGAGAAACCAGGAAGAGCTTATATAGCTAAGCTCATCCTCCTTGCAGAATGTCACTGGTCTGAAGATGAGAGGCAGGTGCTCCTTGTCAAGGTGCTGACGGGGGGCTGCTCCCTAAGGGGAGCCTGTGAGGGGCAGCAGCAAGCCCGGTCCTCTGGGGCCAGAGGCCTCTGGGCAGTGCTTGTCGGCTGCCCTCCACCTTTCTGGAGGTTAAAATCCTTGCCAAACCTTGTAAATCCAAGGTGAGCAGGACTGAGGCCTGTAGAAACACAAGCGCTGTCTTTGCCAGGAAACGGGACTTCAAAAGACTTCATCCCTGCCCATGGCAGCGGGTTGGAAGTGGATGGCCTTTAAGGTCCCTTCCAACCCAAGTCTTTCCATGGTTCTGTGACAAAATAAATTAAACATTTAGCAGGCTCTTGAGTGTAAAATGCATCCAGTTGGAGCTCAGACTCTCGCTACCCTGGAGTACCTATTCAGAGGTAAATATGCTGACAAATCTGTTGCTCACAGAGAAGATGTGATAAAAGGGACACAAAAAATCACTAACAGCTGCTCTGGAGAGGGGCTGGTGGAAGTGAACTTGAGCAGTAACCAGAAAGGATTTCTACCACACACTGAGGACTGACTGAAAGCACAAGACCTCTTGTAATAAGTGGTCCTTTGCCATGTGAGGCATTTTTTTTTTTCAAGCTCATTTCTCTAATTCAGAAATGGGCCTGAAACACCAACCTGCACCTAGAGCGGAGCACGCAGGCCCAACTGGATCTGAACATAGAGCAGCCTCATATGTACAGGGGGTGGCTGGAAGACACCGGCAGAGCTGTCAGTGTCTCTGAGCCCTTGACCTGGACGTGGGCAGGGCCCTTACCACATGGCCCCTGGGTGCCCGTCCCCATTGTCAGTGCTGGAGCAGCAGGGTCCAGGCCCGGGCCACTCCACAGTGTGTGAGGGGATGTCCAAAAGCAAAGTGGGGTGGGTGGCTGGGCCTGCAGGCAGCTGTGGGTGAAGCAGGGACAGAATCGAGTCCCCCCCAATCCTCTCCCCAGCACAGAGGGGTCAGGGGCAGCATTGGGCATGTGTGCATCCCCTCAGTGCTGTTCTCCAAGCTGAGGGGCCTGGTGGGTCCCCAAGGATGGAGCTTGCTTACAGGTGTCTGTAGGCCGGGGGACATGGCTGTTGGCTTGGTAGGGTATGAATGTGAGGACTGAGCCTGTGTCTGGATCCACATTTGACAAGGAAAGAAGCCAAGGCATGGTCTCAGCGTGCAGTGGGGTCGCTGGTGACGCAGCCCAGCACTTGTGAGTGGCAGCAGGAATGGGACAGGGATTGCCAGGGCCTGGCCAGCACTGCCTTAGGGAGCAGGTGGCACTGCATCGCTTCCCACTTCACAGGGAGGTAACTGAAGAGCCAGGAGATGACGGTTCTTTCACCACTGGTACTGCACACTCTTCTTGCTCCTGCACCTGTCTGCTGGCACTGCCTGGCAGATAGGGATTTGAACACGTAAATGCTGTGCAGATTACACCCGCAAACTGTGAGAACCCACACCCATTATTTACAGCAGGGAGACGAGGGCTGAATGAAGGTACTTGCTTATGAGAGAGGAGAACCATCAATCCAGAGTATTGCAGACATAAGGACAAAAAGGTCAAACTGCCAAAATGAGAGAGTGTGTCTGTAGAAAAAAAAAAAAAGGTAAAGCTTCTCAATAAAATCTGCAGGGAAGAAGCTTTTGTGTCTGCAAGACCAGGGAAGGATCCAGTGAAGCTCCATAGGGTACTTTGAGGCATTTCTTGTATGAAGGGAGGGTGGGCAGAACGTGCTCCTTTATGTTATCCCATGAGCTAGGGTATTTATGAAAGGCTCTGCTGCTCCCCTGGAAAATTTTTGTTTAATCATCCATTAATTAAAAAAGGTTGAAAACCACTCATGTCAACTGCTCATTTCTAAGCAAAAAGTGGGCAAATTGTTTTGCCTGCAGGATAATAAAAAGGCAGATTGGTGGTAGCTTTTCCTGCTTTTATTCGCCACGGTGACAACTCAAAAGCGACAACTGTGAAACTGCAAGCATGGTAAATGCATAATGCTTGGTAATTGGGGATGAGGATGTGTCCCAAAAAGCTATAAGAGTGTTGTATTTTCATTGTACAGAGTATTCATTGTAAGGTCTTTCTTACCGCCATCTCCCATTTTGAAGATTAATTACAGGAGAGAGAGGAAATCTAAGGAAAATAGCAAAAGCTGAGTACAGCAAAGAAAGCCATTCACTCACTGCATAATGGGGGAAAAATAGTTATTGCAGGTAAGCAACCACAATAAAAAATGGAAAATAAAACAAACATATCTCTTTGATAAACAGCAAGAGGACTATATCCCTGACTGGGGGTTTCGATAGGCTCTGTGAAAAGCTCGTGGCAGCAGGGCACCTGGCTCCCACCCAGCGCTCCGCACTGCACGATTTGTACAGCGGAGCCACAGTCACCTGTTGGGATATGTGATAAGGGCAGCACTGGTGCTCCACAGGTGTGACAGGGACGGGGTGCATAAGAGCCTCCTGTCACCTGCACACTCATTTGGTGCTTTGGGCACAGAGGGAATGCGGTTCTCAGGGCACAAGTAAAGGCTTTGCAGGGTAAAAAACAAAACAAAACAAACAAACAAAAAAAACTCTCAAAGTGAGCAGGTGTGGCAAAGATCCACCAAGAGATGCTGGAGATGAAAACCTTGCCATTTCCTTGACCCAAGTTTTGTTTTTTAAATGAGCCTGTCAGCTTTTAATTCATGCTTTTAAACTCAAATGTAACTAACAGCATCTTGGAATCCCATTTGCTTTCTATGACTCATGAAACGCTGCTCCCTCTGCCACTGCTCTCACCAAGGACAATGAAATCTGAACGGATTTGCTTCTGTTGTCTGCACTCCAGAGCTTACTGCAGCTGCCCTGGGGTTGAAAACAGTATTTACTTGTTTTGAAATTGTGTTCAGCTAGAATTTTTAAAATACTTCCAGTACCATCTTTGCTTAGGCTTGGGAGAATATAGAGCAGGCTTGGGGTTTTCTTTTGTGTTTTCTGTACTTTTTGCCTTTATAGTGTTTTGTTTTTATTTTTTGGTGGTGTTTGTTGCTGTACTGGTTTTTGTTTTGTTTTGTTTTTCAAAGTGCCACTTGGTCCACATCTAAACTGACCGGAACTGGTCAGGGAGGGATTACAAGCATGACACAACATGACAGGCAGAAAGGGAGAGAAGGCAAAGGTCCCTCCTGGCAAACGTCCCTGCACAGGCTGCGGCAAATGCCCAAAAGCAATTGTAAAGATCACAAGAGAACTTGCGTGGGAGTCATGGCAGAGTCCTTCCTTTAGTAGCAGCTAACTTTATTCTTAAGGTTGTTCTGTGCTTGATGCTGGTAATTCAGCTGACATTTTTGAGGTGGTATCAAAACTGATAGCCAACCCATCCCATTATGTACAAGGATGTCTTTACTGATCTCCCAGGGAATGGGAAAGTGGCTTCATGAGCTCCAAGTGAAGATAAGGATGAGTTCAGCAACACAGCTGCTGCAGAAAGTGCCTATGCTGGTGCTGTACCACAGGTTTCAGGAGTCAGGGTCAGTTCTGCAGCACCTGGCTTATGCCAAAGGCCTCTTTGCTCCTAGACCCAGTCAAAGAAAGAGCTATATCTACTTCAGCTTTCATTTCCACATGTCCTAAACCTGTATTTAGTGACACAGAGCGGATCCTCCCCCACAACTTAATGTGAAAGGCCCCTAGAGAAAGAAGGTAGATCTACGCATTTCCTCAGTGGAACAGTCCATGACGTTGTATTTATTTTCAGAATAGCCCAGGCATGATAAACACTGTGTCCGTGTACCTGTAAAAGTTTGTAGCTATGTTTGGCTTACAAAATGTTGTGTGATTGCTTCTTCTTAGAGATTCCTATCTATACAGGTCAGGGGCTGCCTTCAGAGAAGCAGCTTGGGAGGGGACCTTGGGTTAAATGAGACATACAGACCCCTCCGAGTATGTGCGGAGGGAGCAGTCAGTGTGCCCAAGGCAACCTGCAACCGTAGAACCTGCAACCGTAGGAGTAGGCTGGCAAGTTGGCTGAGAAAAGCTCTTCTGTGCAATGCCAGAAGGAGGTTGGTCACATGCCAGTGGTGCCATCCACGTGTGGTTAACTCTCCTAAAACCCCTCAAAAAATTATCTGAGAATGAGAGTTTTCCATTTTTAGAAGGCCAGTTTTTCATCTTAATATGCCTGCCTTTCTTTGCTGCTCCCTCCCACAAATTTCTCTGGCCAGTTTTAAGTAACTCTTTGAAGGAGATTCATATGTTAAAGTCTTCATTGGCTGCAAAACCATTTGTCTTATTTCTGTTGCAGGAGAACTGGTATTACACACCTAGAGTGGGCTTGTCAGAAAAAAAAGGCCAGGGAAGCAGGGTAACTGCTGGTCCATGGCAGTGATACCCAGAGAGTCACCAGCCAGAGCCAAAGCCACGATACAGTGAGCTGCTGAGGGGCCCACGCATCAAAGCAGGAGCAGAAACCTTCCAGGGAAACTCGGCACACGTTTCACAAAAGGTGAGCTGGGCCTGGGGCACATTGCCGATGGCTGTCTCTAACTTAATAACTCGGGCTATGATGTTTAGTTTCAGCCCCTTCCCCTATATTATATGCTAACACAAAGAATAATGCTGGCTGGCTGGCTGAGCTGATGTATGGTAGAGTTTCTCCAAGTTTCCAAGTATTCAAGGTGCTAGCTTTGTTAACTTTCCATTTCAGGGGAAGTGGATTGGTTTGAGGATATTTGCACTAAAGCCACCACATGGAAATTTTACAATGTACCTTAAAGGAATAATGGGATTATTAAGAAGTCATCACCGTTGGCATTTATTTTCCCATTCCATTTACGTCAAAACTTTTTTCAGTAGCCCAGATAACATTTTTGACAGCACGGCCAGATTTATTGCTCATGCTTGATCCTGTTGTTGCTCTAAGGGCTCATAATTTTTTTACAGGATTCACTCATCATCTTAGTTGTCTTCTTAGCTAGTCACTGTTGTGATGCTTCATTTTAAGGCCACAAAACCATCTGCATCCTTGACATGACTCAGACACCCATATCCTGTATGAAAAGGATTTTAATTTTATGCCAGCAATAAAAATTGATCACTGGAAAATTTATAATTTGAGACCCCGGTACACCCACGTCAGATTAAGTGCAGGAATCAGGCTCCCAACGCCTGCATCCTGCAGGTGCTCTGAACGATGGTGCAGGCACAAAGCTACCCTTACCTCCTCTCTGAAACAAGTGACTCCTCACGGCCCCTCCATCAGCCTCTGGCTCCCTGTTCCTCTCTGCTGCTTACCCAAGAGTCACAAGTCACTAGGGCTAGGTAGCTATGGAGATGAAAGCCCTGCTCTACGTCACCCTTTGCTTTCTGATATGGTCCATTTGGTGCCTGTGCAGATACATTTCCTGTGGGAAAAATAGAGATGGCTTCAGGACAGACACCATTAGTAACTGAGAACTCCTTCAGATTTGTATAGGGAGATACGAATGGGCTGCTAAAATACTTGGAAAATGTAAAATTCTAGAATAAAGGCACAGCCAACTGATGCATGTTGCCCAGATCTGACTTTAGGGAATTAAGACCTGCTCTTTTTTTTTTTTTTTAAGGCTGTTTTTTTTTATCATCTGGTAAAACATGTAGAATCACTAATCATAAAATCTTCAGTACTATTCCAGGTACTTGGGTTCAAAAGAAATGTTGGACAGTTCTTACGAACAATTGTTTCTACGGTTAAAATTGTTCTCTTGAGAGAATTAGCTTACAACTACTTTTCTACATGCTAAGTAAATAAAATGTCAACTTCCTAAACACAGTGTGCAAATACACTAAAGTACCAGGCATCAAGCAAACAAAAGTGATTCAGATAAACGAGGGGAAGGATTTCATTTTTAATATACACAACTCATTCCTGAGGGCTTGATCAAATCAACTACAGTGACTGAGATAAGGGACAGACACAAATGAAATGAGATTTTGAAAGCTCTGGCTTTCAGAGTGATTTAAAAGATACAGGTATTCAGAGAATGTTAAATCACTGTTTTGGCCCCTTTCTGACACAATTATTGTTGCAGACACACATTCAAATCTCCATGTAAAATGGTTCCTGGGTCTGCTGAATGTCTGATGACAGGACAGCAGGATAAACTCCCCTAAAATCAGAACGTAGAGGTTCCCAAGGTTTTTCATTCCAACAAAACGTTAACAGTTTTGCTGGTTGTATCAGCATATGTCAGAGGTGAAATATTTAATTTTAAATGGCACGTATTGTATTCTTCTCGAGGCACTGGAGTTGAGATGGAAACCACCTGCCAGCCTTTTGTTAACCATCCTGTGGTTCTCCTAGGAACATATGTTAAAGATGAGAAAAGATCAAAATACTTACAGTTTTGTCTCTCCAGCCATAATGCAAAGCAGAGGCAGGTACAGTATGCCCCTACAGGATAATCCTTTGGCCAGGAAGACCCAGGACTAGAATTTACAAATCTGCACTCACCACTAGAGAAGCGTGGAGAAGACATCCTTGTGTCATTCACCTAGTGTGAAAAACTGGAATGTCCTGACAGCTGTGGAGATCATTCACCCTCTCCTCTGACCATTCCTGGTGAACTATATGGCGAAGGAGTAGTACAGAAAGTAATCTGCAATTTTTATGGAGAACTGCAGTGATGTTCATTAATCCAGTGTTCAAATACGTATTGCTAGAGTGAGCACCTAACAAATTTGAGGCCAGGTAGCTACCAAACTTCCAGAGTTAAGAAAGATGGCATTTCAGAAGCTGACAGTGTCCATAACACAATATGGCACTAAATCGTTTCTAGGCCTGACAGCAATCAAGATACTGGACCTTAAAATATTCCCGCCATTTTCCCTCACATTATGAATTTAGCAGCTAAAATTTAAAGAAATGACTGCATTATACCCTATGAAATCCAGAATGTAAGGCTTCCAGATGGTGCGAAGCACTCACTTCTAAATTCAGCTGTTCCTGAGACAACAGCCACTAAAATCATGTCACAACTGTAGTGACTGAAACAAGTGTAATTGAAAAAAGTGACTTTCAAAGCTTGTGTTCATCCACAGCATTAATTCTTTCTCCGTTGCTCTTACTGCTCTGTTCAGTGCCTGAGAACAATGACCAGAAAAGAGTGATACCAATAGCACAGAATGAAGATCTGCAGCCTTCTCACTGCAATTTTTCCCCTTTTGCTTCTTTAAAACAAAAAGGCCACTATGCAGAGAGGTCTGGTGGTGCTGGAAGCAGAACGCCAGCAAAACTAGAGCACTGCTTCTGATATGGTGGTGTAAATGTTCTAGCTTGAAGCTCTACAGGGCCATAGCTCAGCTGCAAGAAAATGCAACTTTATCAAAACAAATCACAGTTGGGGACGGGGGAGAAAAACACATCATGCTCTCATCACAAGAAAAGCTACTTTGATCCACTTTCAAAACAATACATCAATCTCACTTGCAACTCTCATCACAAAATGAACATAACTAAATATATTGAACAAACCAGCCCATACTTGTCTCTGTCTCTCTCTCTCTGTTCAGCCCTTGCCACAGAAACACCTCATCAGTCCCTGCTCTATGGTGTCTGAAAGGATGTAGATTTTCTTTCATAATTTAGGGCCTGATCAACTGGAGGCGGTCTGCAGCTGTAAGAACGAGGCCTCCTCCCAGCATGGGGATGATGCTGAATAGGCTCCAAGTATAAGCATGGGATGATATTGATCCAAACAGAGAAGAGAGGAGACAGAGAGAGCAAGAGGTATGCACACGGGCCTCTCCCTGCACGTGAGACAGGGCAAGAGGCACAAAGGCAGCCTTGCTCGTAGTTCAGGGCTGCAGGGGCAGCAGGGCCATGGCTGCCTTCCAGCGCAGAATGGAGGATGCCAGAGAGAGCCCTGGCCTCATTTTCTTTGCAGACTCCCAGAGCCTCTGAGATCAGGTGCTGTTCATGGGAGTCTGTCTCTTAGGAGAGCCTCTGCTCCCCTGATGAAATAAACGATTTGAACTGAGTCCGAGACTGGTGGCTGCAAAGGTTCACGGGGGCCTGTTTTGCTTGTTGCTCTGTATCTTTTCCACCACAGTCACCTCGTGGTATCCAGCCCATCAACATGACATGTCCACAACTTCACACCACGAGGGACATCCTCGTTGGGAAATCGTTCTGAGAGGAAAGAGAGGAGACAAGTGTCAATAGGAGAGCACCCACAGAACGGACAAAGAGACAGATGTAGCTTCGACAGAGACACAACTGGAGAGTGACAACTTTTTCAGGCTCACGCCCCTGTTCTTTCTTGCACAGGCCACTTTGCTCAGGGCCAAGACCCAAGCTCTTGGCTCCCCCTCCCCAACAGCCACAGTCTCATCAGCCCTCACGAGCCCTGACTGGAGCAGGATGTTTCTCACTTGCTGGCATTCTGGGTGACAGATGCCTTTGGTGTGCATGGCACACGTGCACAGGGCCATGGGCATGCACCCACAGGCATCTGTCACCTCACCCCTTTCATAATGATCCCACTGAGGTCTCTCGCAGGGTTCCTCATGCTATCTGGGGTTCCCCACACTCTGACTCCATCCACACTCTGCCCTCTCCTGGAGAGCCCCCTGCTCCTAAACTCTGCTTTGTGACCCCCGCCTGGCGGCTGATGCCTCAGCGTATCTGGATCAGGAGCACCAGACATGGCCTCACTGTTTTCTTGGGCTCCTTTTTCCTCTTCTTGTCAGAGGCGTTGAGGTAGGCCTGCTCCCTGGCCCGGTACGAAGGGCCTCGGCTCAGCTCCCTCTCGCTGTAGGGAGGCAGGGTGTCCTCCCCATCCTCCTGGTCAGACGACTGTGACTGTGACTGCTGCTGCGATGGCTCGGGCTTGTAGGTAGAGGGTGGTGACCAGGCGTAATACGTTCCCCCTCCTCTCTGGCTGGGCTGCGAGCTCAGCTTTGAGGGGGTTTCACAACGGTCACCGCTTTCATCGTAGCTCCGGGATTTCCTCTCCAGGACGCTGCTGAGGTAGGAGTGATCGTATTTCTGGCTCCCTCCGGGCGTCCGGCTCACCAGCCGGGGCAGGTGCTTCTCCTCGTGGGCCCGTCTGCGGGGCGGGCTGTACGACCAGCCCCGATCCGAGTCCGTCAGCGGCTCTCGGTTCCCCCTGCTGCGCTTGGTGTAGTACTCCTCCAGGGAGCTGTCCTGGTGGTGCAGCCCTCCGCCACGCGACTCCGAGCGCTCGAAACGCCGAGTCTCCTGGCTGTCCGCCCGCCGGGCCCGCTGGCTGTAGGACTCCGCGAAGGCTGCCAGCTCGTCCATGGAGACGGCCGGCACTCCCACAGAGAAGCTCTTACGGGACAGCATCTCGGACTTGGATCTCTGCTGGCTGGAGGAGGAAAAAGGTAGGGTTAGAGGCCAGGATTCAGCTGCACTCATCCCCTCGGCAGCCTTCAGAGACAATGGAGGGAAGCGGGCGCTCCTGGGACATGAATCATCTGACCTGTTTTCATCCCCTTCTGTAGGAAGAGATGTATCACATCCTAGAAAAGCCTACTTCTCTCTGCTGACTGTAAGGGCAGCCTAGTGTGGAGAGCTCAGATTCTACAAGCCTAATGTTACCCAGAGATTAACCCCGGGATGCACCGTCCTTGTCCTCCGCTATGCAGGGCTGAACTTCCTTTCTTCCCTTAGCCCCAGCACTTTTAGGTCTATGTCCTGCTGGGAAAACTCAAGAACCTGGCTACAGAAGCTCACAGGAGGGCAATTATGAAGCAGGTTTAAAGGGAGTGAACTGGCACAAGAGCCCAGTACTGAGGGAAATAAATACCTGCCATTGCTTTTGGGGGACTGGGCTGCTGGTATGAGGGAAGAAGCACATGATATCTCTTCTAGGTGCCAAAGTGCCGGTCCTTTAGACCTGGAATACAGGTCTTGCTGCACCAAAGCACCAGGGTGTGATTCCTAACACAGTGCACCAGCACTGAGAATTGCCTGAGGCATCAGGTACAGATCTCAATGAAGCACTTTGAGAAGGCGACTTTGTTTCTTATCTATCTCACTTTGCCATCCTACCTGGAATGGTGTCAGTACCTAGCACTGCCCAGCTGGGGAGGCTCCAGCAGACCTGTACGAATCAGATCAATTCTGTCCTCATCTAAGACATCTTCCATCTCCACCTTTCTCTCCAGCTGCAACCCCTCCATCCTACTAGGCTGGACCAGAGCAGCAGGACATGGAGAAGAGCTACCAGTATATCTGTCCCATCTCCTTAACTTACTACTTTGGCAGGTACAGTAACCTCCCAGACACAGCACTCCTCACCTGTGCCGGAAACTGTCCCTCTCATCTCTGTAATCAGAGACAGCCTGTGACCTTGATGTGCTGCCCCCGCCGATCACTCCTGCCCAGTACTCAGCATCCCCATCCAGGTCTCCTGCTGGAGGCAGAGGTTTCCTCCGCGCCTGGCGGTACGGCTGTCGGAAGTTCAAGTCGTCCTCATGCAAGGAGCTGAGTTCAGAGATGGTGTTGTTATCTGAAGGGGAGGATGCAGAAAGGAAATGAGATAGGCATCACCTAGTAGCATATGGGAGAGAAGAGAGGACTGGAAGGCTGTGGAAAGCCTGGCTGCAGATTTCTCAGACAGAAGCTGAACTGCCCTCCAATAAAAAAAAAAATCAAAATGGAACCCAAGGTCCAAACCCTTGTGTGATCCTGCCTGAGACTCCTGGGGCTGTTTGGACACATAGCTGGTGTTGGACCTACAGGTCTTCTGAACTGGTTAACCAGTAGCCAGATGGGATATTCTAAGGGTATCTCAACTGGCATCAGATGCTTGTGTTCGGACAACAAAGTTCAGTCTTTGTGCAGAAATCCCCCCTCAGCCCTGCTTCACTAGCACATGTGAGCTCAACACCCTCACGAGGTGGGCACTGTGCTTGGTGGTGCATCATCCCAGCAATTGTGCCACCTCCCCCTTTCCTGGTGTGAGACAAGCTGGCTCTGGATTTGGCCTGACTTGCTTAGTTAAAACAAAAACAACCCCCTCAAAAAAAAAATTTAAAAAAGTAAGAGACTGTCTGAATCACTGTCAGTCTCTACCCTGTCAAGCACATTGACATCTGGAGGCCTGACATACCAATCTGGAGAGGTCTTTTTATAGTAAATCTTGTGGGTGGAGAAGACAGTGTGCTCAGCAATGACTGTTTTAGAAGTACATATAATTTCTTAGTTATGCCTAATCAGTACAGAGCCTTGATGTAATGTCATTCCCTAAAACCCCTACCTTCATTGATTTGCAGGATCTCACGTGTCTGTTTTAAAAGAGCCTCTGCCAGTGCCTAAGATGGGCTAGCTCTGCATCAGTCAGATGCTGCATGGAGGAACCAAGCCCCCGAGCCTGCTGTTGTCCTCAGAACAGCTAGAGGACGAACACCAGCACTGCAGGCCCTCCTTGTGCACATAAACTGTCCCACCACTGCACCCCTCCTAATGTCTCCTAATGCAGGAAGATCCTCGCTATGGTTTGTGCTGACACCCATTAAACACCCCTTCAGTCTTTATTTAGGAGAATAAAGCCTGCAAGAGGCTATAGGCAGACAGTGAGGAGTTCCATGCAGAAGCTCCTTTCTGAGCTTGCATCATGCCCCCCCCTTTCACTTGGCAGTGTCTGACTGCCAAGCCATCAGAGCTGCTGCTCATAGCGCCTCTGATCTTATGTTGACCAGTGTCACCAAACCTCCTGGCAATCTCCTTGCTTACTGAAATCTTTCTTGTAGTCCCTATTGCAGGGCAACAACCACTCCAAACTACCTTTATGTATCATTCGAACCATACCGAGGACACCGCAGCACACAAAACAGACCTGGCTTTTCAGACCATGATGATCCAAAAGTTCAATTGCCCAAGCAGCCAATTTTCATGATAGTCTGAGTCTCCCACACCTTGTTCAGTCTAATGAAGAATGATTATTAGGTGACCAGTAACTCTTTAAAATCAGAACACATCTGTAGATTCCTAAGATCCAGATTTTATCCATCCCAAGATTAACATCCTAGAGGCTTTAGGCTTTAATACAAAGCCAGTGAACCTTTAGCTATGAATTTGCAGGGTACTTTTCAGGTCAGTGAAAAACAAAATCAAACCGTTCTCATTCCTCACATCGTTCTCGCATCCTCCGAGCTGGGTCAAACTGAGCCAGTTCTTTCTCGACATAGTACAGCACCTTCATGGAGTCCCTTTCCTTGTCAGTCTGGATCCTGTACCCTTTGCGCACTGCTGGGGAGAAACGAAAAGAAAAGGATTTAGAGGAAAACACATTTAAGTTTGAGGAGACTTTCAGACGACATTGCTTCTACAGTTGAGCTCACATTTGCAGGCAGGTAGGCTGCATCTTCCAAAACAGTGAGTCAGTCCTTGCTTCAGAAGAAATTTGTCTCTAAGGTGGGATGTGAAGTTGTGAGCAGCTGCATCGTTTAGAAAGTTTGCAGCAACAGCAAAAAAAGGCTTGGAAATGCCCAATCTGTACAGCCAAATGCATCAAGTGGTGACACTGCCACAGTGATTCCACCTCCTACAGAGGATGGCAGGGAGAAAGGTAGAAGTCGCTTCCCCTTTCTTAGCACTACTGAAAGGATTTGTCATGGTATGGGAGAAGCAGTGCCAGAAGATCAGGCTTCCTCTATGCAGCAGAGGCTGTGAGCTCCCAGGCTGCAGGGGAAGCAGGTGGCTGAGCATGTGGGAGCTGTCACTCTGCAGGAGCGCTCCACACTCCCCAGCCCTACGAATTCTGCTCACACAGGTTGAAAAGCATGTGGCAGGAGATGCTCCAGAACACGGAAGGAAACATAGAAAGTCCCACAAAGCACATCGCACTGAGATCTATACCAAATCCAATAATGGGGCCAATCAGGTCACTGGGTAACTGTGAAACTGCTTGCTCTGGCACTCTTTACATGCTGCATTTTACAGAAAAGGTAGGTTTCACACAGGCATTAGGTGCTTGACTCCACTTGCGGGGGAAGTCTGGACAGCTTTTTTGGCTTTATCACCTTCCTGTGTAGAGAAGAGAAGCTCCTACACACCCAGAGCCTCAGCAGGTCTAATTCTGGCAGGCTGGCTCTATGCATGCTTTATGTGCTAAGCCTATGAATAGCCCGGCTACCTCAAGGCCAGTCTACAGGCAGCAAGCAAAAAACTCCACCTATTAGGACTTTGAGGAAAATAAGGCTTCTGTAGCAGATTGTTTAAGAAACGTCTCAGCCTGGGGCTATTCGAAGATTGACAGAAACACAGGTCTCAGTCCCAAGGAGCTAACCCTGAAACTCAGCCTCATTAGAGCACTGCTGTAAGGATGAGTTGCACAGGGTTAGTGTGTTCCCCCGTGTGAAAACTGCAGCATTGCACGAGCCCTCCTCTTGACACACTATTTTAAAAAATACTTGGACAGTGGTAGTGAGCCAACCTCTTCCTTCTGCTTTATCCCATACCCCGATACATCAGTACCTAACATATGGGTTTGGTAGTACGTTGCATAGTATGCAGTGTGGGCTGAACAAGGACTTGGCAGAGGTATTCTTAGGCACCTTCTGTCCTAAACTGCTGCGCTTGTGCCTGTGCACTATGAAATAACCATGCTCTGCCTCAGAAATGGCTGTGCCATAGAAACTGGTGGAACGATTCCTGTAATAATCCTGCAAATTGCTTCAGGAGGAAGTGCTTTACCGTGGATTTTAAATGTGTATATGTAAATTACCAGATCTTGAAATATTGCCTAGTGTATTTGTATTTGGGAAAGGTATTAGGTGTTAAAATGTAGTACAGGTCTCTCACAGTCCTGCTTTCAACATGTCTCCAGGACAAACCCAGATAGCTCACCTGATGGCAGTCTACAGTTTCACAGTTGTTTATCATCACCATAAATATGTGTACAATGATTGTAAATGCACACCATGACTTACAGAACACAAGGAACCCTGCCTCTGCCTTCCAAAGTGGAAGACCAGCATGTCTCTCCAGGTCAGGTTGCTGCTACAAAGAGGAGCTGGACTGACTGGCCTCAGAAGTGGTGACTCCTGCTGCACTGACACAGCACAAGCAACAGCACTGCAAGTTCTCCGCTTTGCCTCACCATCACAGTTGACCTCTGGTCTGATACGCTGCCAGCAAAGAGTCATCTCACTGTTCTTCCTTCCAATGCATCTCCTAGGAGCTCAGCTGAGCCACCACCTCATTTTTACACAGGCCAACAACCAAACATTTGCTGGAAATGACTCTGACCTACTGATAGTCTTTGGGGAACTTGAGCAGGCAGCTTCCAGATTCTGTCGCACAAGAACCACTAATCATGCTGAAGCTGTGCCAAGTATCTATTTGGGCAACATCTTCAGCTCCTGGAACTGATGGGAGAATTAGCTCGGCTTCATGCTAGCTTCATGCTTGACTTGTTATTGCAGCTATGTATCAAAAGGAAAGTGACTTTCTTGGGTAATTCTGTAAGCATCCAGAAATTAACTTTGGAATTAAATCTGCAAAGATGACTGTGAGCAGCCCATAAAAAGGCTTTTCCATTACAGATAAGGCATATTTTGTCTCTACATTTATTTATTAAATACTTCCGGCAGTGATATTGAATGCTCAACTTATTAAACCTCTTTATTATTCCTTCGTGTGAGATTCAAAGATATTATTGCTTCCTCCTCATACCCTTCTTCATCCATAAATTGCCAAAATCCTTTAATAAGGTCTGCATATTTTTAGACCCATCTCAATTATAAGGAAATGAAGATGCAAAGATGTTAAGCACTTGTCCAGAACCATTCCATTAAGTCAAAGGGAATGGAACATTCTTCCCTGTTAGAGCATATTTTCTTCTCCTGAACAGTTCATAAATTTCTAATGCTTAATTTGTGTAACTATGGACACTTTTTTTATTCTTCTGTGGGTGGAACCAAGTCAGACAAAACTGTAAACTGTTTCCCTCCCCAGAAAGGACAGCACTACTATTTTTTTCAGGCAAGCGTGGTTAGGAAGCAAGTGATTTGTCATCCTTTTCTTTTTTTTTTTTTCACTTTCTATACTGGAGGTCTAGAGTTCAGCTCTCAAATTAAAAGCTTCCCTGTGCGCATGGTTTAGGGAATCTATGCCAGAGTCTCCAGGTAACCACTGCATTTAAAATAGAGAGCATACATCCTAAATTATGTGTTGCCAGCAGTCCTAAATACGAAAAACGAACGTTCGTTTTTATTTCCTGCTCAGCCCTAAGTTCAGGACCGAGTTCCTAAGCTTCACTGGAGCTTTGTCACATGGCGTTTATGTAACTGTAGGCAAATTTTTCAAATATTCTCGTGCCTTAGTTTGCTCACTAGATCACCTCACAGGGGTCAGCTACAAGCACACAAGCTAACTAGGGCAAAGGCTGTGCTTTCTAGACCGGCAGCCAGGATTACAGAATCCTCCAGTCTCCATCCCCTAGCGCTTCTGATCCTATTGACCATTTTTAAACGAACTAGACAGAAGTTTTTGGTATCAAAGATAGCAAGTTTTTACAAGTTTCAGATCAGACCTACAATAGCTGTGTGGAGGATGCAGAGACCATAATTAGTGCTCCTTCTGAGCAAAGACCTTCATTATCCATTCAACTATTATCTGTTTTGTTTAGCCTGCTGTCTGGCCAACCAGCAAATAAGCAGCTTGGACGAGCCATGTAACGTGTTCTCTCCTCTACTGCATGTAATTAGGGGATATTCTGGAATGATAACAGAGCTTAAGAGACAAGGAAGAGAGCGCAGGGCATCAACCTCCGTTAGCTTCTCATTTAAATATTATTTAAATAATAATAAAAAAAAAAGCTTAAGAAACTGTGTTGCCTCTCCACAACAGTTAAAATTCACTATAGTAATAGTTTTACTTGCAATATGTAGTATTGCCTGTCAAATACTGAGTTGAAGGTTTAAGTCTTGACAGCTTGATTCAGATTATATAATAAATGCATTTTTTCCGTGTAATAACCATGGATGCTAAGAGCCATTCCATTTGGTTTCTAAACACATCCAGTTTTTATTCAGCATTTGTGCTCTGCTAGTAAAGCACAGCAGAGACAAGCACTGGGTTTGTGATTTGACTCTTAAAAAATCCCTAAGGTTCCCACAGCCAACACCGTGTTCTACAAGCAGTGACATTTTGCACAAGAGAAAAAAAAAATAAGCACTGTGGCTTGTCATTCATCATTTTCTGACAAAGATTTTTGAATTGGGTACATTCTGCTTTGGATCAGTGACTGATTTATTTCCTATTTCAAAATGCACCATTCCAGAGCTCTGTTTTGATTTTGGTGGGAAAAAAAAAAAAAGTATGACTTGAATGAAAATACTTCTATTAATTCTGGAAAGGTTAATATATTGAGTGGAGCAGGGGAAGAATGTGGAAGGTTATTCCAAAAGCTTAATTATTTGAGTAGGCTACTTGGTTGTGGAACTTTTTGGAACTGTCTTATCAACACACTGTCATGAGTAAATTTAACAATTGACAATTAGTGCAGAGCTTTCAAATCAGACATATGTCTGGATCAAGGGCTAACATACTGTGTCAGTTTGGTGACTATCTTGGTAAGTCACTGCTGCTGCTGCAGTATGTTTGAGTTCAGGCAGACACTCTGGCCCTGAAATGCTCCTAGGATGTGGCTAAATAGCCATTCTCTTCTTCCTTGAAGGCAACTTCCTTTACAGCAGAAGTGACCCTCACTGAGATAGAAGCACCATACTCATATTCTCTCTGTCTGACATTGATCTGTAACTCCCTTCCAGTTAGAAGCCTTTTACCACTCACATTTCATAAATGGGAAGGCTGAACAAGCCAAGCGACCTACTGACTTCTGTAAGGTATGGGAGGGGATCCAGCTGCAAATGCTCTTGGGCAGAAATGACAAGGGAGCACGTACCTGCGCTCAAATTGCTACAGGGACAGTAAAACATGCTGCAGCAAAAACTGCTGCCAGAGGAGAAGCAATGCTCTACACACAGCAGCAAAAGCAGTTTACCAAGACAGAGCAGCTTGCAAGGCATCGGCTCTAAGGGGAAAACAGCCACTGCCTCTGCTCTCCTGCAACCACCTTCATTCATCCTTTCCTCTCCTGCAAGCAAACGTTTAGAAAGGGGCCCAGAGCACGAACCTGGCCTCTGGTTCTCTGCTGGTCTAATTCAGTACCCCCAAACAAACATTTTACTGATGGCACTAGAGAAGTTGGCCCACATGGCCCTAAGGGATGCAAATGTCATTGTCAGAACCAGGATTAAAATGCAGTTTGTCTGTGTTTATCCTGTTCAAAGATGCTTGCCCCTCCCATTCGCAGCCCTGCTCCCAGGAAGAGGACTGAATGCTGTGCTTGGCACTGCAAATTACCATTTTGGCTTCCTCCAGTGGCGTCGCTTGGGGCTAAGGGAGGTGGGTGCGACTTGTCCATCAGCACAGCAGGAGATGGGACACCAGCCACAGGGACGCTGGGGATGTAGTATGGACCTGGCATGGAGGAGACCGCAGGAGGGTACCCTGCCTTTGCTGCCTTGCCTGCTACGTACACTGAAAAAGAAAAAACAGCAGTCAGCATCACACCAGCCTCCCCCAGACCCACACGGCTTGTGGCAGAAACCTGCACATCGCTGACATTGGTGACAACCCAGCAGGAGACAACTGGACAAGTGAAATGACAGGGGCCGATATGAATTTCTCTAAGCCTCAAATAGCACTGAGGGGTGTTTTAAAAGTGCTCACGGCACATCGTGTGAACACTCCAAGACGCCCAACATCTGGAAGATACCTGGCATGTTAGAGCCAGCATTTCTGCTGCCACAACTTAGTGGCAGTTAAGCTTTAACAACAACTCTTGTCTCAAGCTGCAGGGATGAGGCTCATGAAGCTTGACAGATCTGCCTGAACCTGACCGGGAACCTTGCTGGGTTGCAAGGATTTTGCAGTGTTGCAGAGGGCAGCTGCTTCGCACTGTTGGGAAGAAACCTCCCAGGATGCTTTTAGCTCTGCCCCCGCAACACTCACCGACATGACAGCAACTTTGGAAGGGGAGCGTGACACTGTGGAGAAGCAGACACAGCTGCCAAGGCAGGGAGGCCTCGGAGAATCACATTTGTAATTAACTTTGAGCGCTCAAGCATTGAGCAATAGGTCAGATGCTTCACTCCCTGAGAACTAGTTCTAGAGTCAAGCAGAGTGCTCAGGGCAAAGGAAGCAACATTAGCACATTCTCCTCCTGTTCTGCCAGGGAGCAGAATAGGTAAAGGAGATCCGTGCCAGGCCTGGACGGGGTCACTCACGCGCCCGGGGACAGCAGCAGGATTCAGGACAGCAGGGGCAGCGGACGTAACAACAGCAGCTGTGTGGGCAGCACTGGCACCAGCAGATCCCCACCAGGAGGAAGAACAGGAACGCGCCCAGGATCACCAGGCCCACAAAGACCCACTCTGGAAAACACGGGGAGAAAAAGAGATACTTACAGGATTGCACATCGCTGGGGAAGCGAACAGCAGCAACATCATCCCAGTGGAGAGCACAGGGGCAGAATAGATGGTGGGGCTTTGTATAGAAACAGACTCCCTCCTGGTTTAGGACCATGTCAAAGCAGAAATGGCACATGGCAGTGAGAAACAGAGCTACCAAAATGTGGTCCCTTCTCAGCCTCTCTGGCTGGCTCAGAGGAAACCCTTCATCCCGTGGCAGACCTGTACAAATGCTGCAGGACATGCCCTATTAGCATCTGGGTCTCATTAAAGACTCATTCTTCTCAGCCATGTTCATGCCCTGCTTATGTGTTTGTTCCCTACCCATATTCCAGTTTTAATGGGACAAACGACGGTGAAAAGCAGGCTATAAATAGCCCAGTAAATGAGCCAGGCCTGCCCCTTCACAACTAGGCCCACGCACACAATTATTCTTTTGAATGTGCTGAACGAACATCCTATTCAGGCGCTGCAGCCAGCCAGGAAACCTAACAACCACTTTTTCTTTTTCTTTTTTAATTTTCACTGAAGCCTCAGATGAAGTCTGTACAAGTGACAGGGCAAAAGGGACGGTCCACAAAAACCGTGATGGGGCTGTAATGGGCTCTATTTACATTGCATGGAAAGGGGAGCTAGGAAAGGTCCCTAACACTCTGCTGCCAGGAAATCTGTAGCAGCAGCAGCAGCCAAGGTGAGGGCAGGTGCCCTGCCTGCCATGGGGCAGCTCTCAGCCTTTCACTTCACCGGGGATGGTGGGCACATGGGTGCACGTGTTGCCACATGGCAGTTCCCTGGATCAAGGGAATGGTCAGCAAATGCATGTGGACCAAGAAATTTCAAGACTTTGAATGCAGAGGAAGCCTGGAGTTGGTTTTACATCAGAGAGATGTACCAGCCTATCTGGAACTCAGCCCACTGGTGAGGGAAAACCTGCGGGGAAAGACACCAGAGGTCCCCAGGTGGTTCTTCAACCACCTTGGAAAGATGGCAAGAAGGCAAAGAAAGAAGCGGTAGGGCTGCTCAGCAGTGAGGTGGGGTTTACACCATGAAAAGCAGCAGCAGCAAGCCACTCTTTCTGAACAGAAGTCAAGCATCCTCTACGTGGCCTCCTGGCACAATGGGATTTGGGCTGCAGAAGGGTTGGTACAAGAGCTGCAATGCAAGGATGGAATGACACTAAGTGAAATGAAAAGTCGAGGAAAAGGTTGCTCAGCTTGGAACAACCAAAATACAATTACTTCTAGTTCTTAATAAAACGCAAAAAAGAGAGATCTCATTTTTGATTCATCCACGGCGTTGTTTGAGCAGAAGCAAAATTCTTTTCTTTGTTAGCATTTTCCTTCACTCTTCTACAAATAATTGCCTTTTGTAAATGCAATTTTTAATTTCAAACTTATGAACGTCAGTGAAAGATCTGGCATTTACAAATCAAAACACTTCATTTCAGAAGTGTAAAGTGAAACATTTTATGTTTTTTGAATATTTGATTTCTCTCTTGGCTGAAACAGATGAATTTCATTTAAACTTGCAGATAATTTTGGTCCTTGTGGAATATTTTTTGGTGAAGTTACTCTATGTTGAGAAAAACTCAGCTAATGAATAAGGAAATAGCTGGAGGGAAGCATTCATGAATGGAAAAGTAACAGCTGATAGGAAATTGTTAATACAGTTCCTCAGGTACCAGTTCTAGGAGCCATCTTGTTTAAATGTTTGCATGAATGACCTTGACACAGAAAATAAGAATGCATTAATGCAACTTAAGGGGAAGAGGTAGGGAAGCATTACCAACAAAGATGAAGACTAGAATATCTTATAGAAAGGGCAAGTTGTCCTTGGGCAGGCCTACAATAAGAAACATGTAACACAGCATATATATGCTGAATTTCAGGGTGTGCGGCAATACTTCCAGGGTCACACATTCAAGGATCAAGAACAGTTTCTGCTGTGAACAGGACTTCATTTCTTGAAAGCAACCAAAAAATAAAGGACACGCTATACTATTCCATCACAGGACAAGTGTAACCACTTGGGCTTTACAGCCACAAAAACTGTAATTGTAATCCTGTGCCCCACAAAGGAGGAATTTCCAGTAGTGTTAAGGAATGCCTTCATACAAGGCCTCCAAGTAACTTCATCTGAAGTTACTGACATTATACAACCCTGATCATCTTTGTACGAGAGAAGATGGATTCAGGCTGCAGCTCATGCAAAGCAGGGATTCAAGAGCAAAGAACAGATTCGACAGCCTGCCTCGTACAGAGAGAGCAGAAGCTTGCTGCGTTAGCCTGTCATGGAGAAGGCTGTGAGCAGACATAGTCGCTGCCTGGAGATACACTAGGAGCATGAATGCTAGGGGGAAAAGCAGTTATTATAGTTAAGGGTCCTAAATAAATGAGCATAAACAGGCTATGAGTAATGTAGAGGGAAGCTAGAAGCAGCACATCAAAGAAGGCAATCTGATGTGAGAGAGAAAGGCCAAAACCAGGCTACTTTTTTTTTTTTATTTTTTTAAGTTTGCTAAGCTTATGAAAAGCATGAAATAATATGGTGCTTGGGATAGCATGTAAGACAGTAAGCCAGACTTCTTTCCCTATACTTCCGAAGTCTACGCCACTCTGAGCAGGGCAGAAGCTTGCTTCTGTCACGTTCTTGTCATGAAATATTACTGCCTGATGGAAGTGGCCAGCCACAGCTATGCAATGCAGCTCAGGTGTCAGGTCTCCAGAGCTGTTAGTGAGCTGTTCACTAATAAAGGATAAAAGCCTGGTGGAGGAAAAAAACAAACAGCAAGTCCACTGTAAGTGTACTTGTGGTCCTCCTGAAAATGTTCTAGGAGTATAAAAAGAGATCAGGTTAGTATATATGTTACGTGTTACTCAGCACTAGGAGAAAACATCTGAAATCCATATCCCAGTCACAGGGAGGATTTGATCTCGCAGAGTTAGACCATTTGCTTCTGCGATAAGGTTAAGAAAACAGAAGAAGAGCTCACTGGCTCCTCCTGAATGCACAGAACCAGGAGTTCAACCAGTCTTACCTGCACTTCCCTAATCCTCGCCCTGCTACAACAGCCATTACCTTCTCTCACTGCCCTTCCAGATACAACTGTGTAACCCTGAGGTGTAAACCTTTACCAAGCTGAAACGCTATGAACTTCACTGTCTGGAAACTAGGGGTTTGTGCTTGCAAGAGGATCTGATTTTGTTAATTCAGGATAACAGGTAATGCAGGTGATGTGTGGTCTGTCACTGCCTTTTATACTTTATTTTTTATACGTATGCAGTGGGGGTACCAGAAAGCTACCTGGCCAACATACAGGAATTGTACACCCATCCGATAGGACTGTAAATAGTGGGGAAAAAAAGGCATTAGGCAACAGAGAATCAATCTCTGTCTATGCTGAAAAGGCCAATCCCTCTCCTACCATGCTGAGCTTCCAGGGAGCTCTGGGTTTCACTGGAGGTGGAGGAGTGTCTGCCTTCTCTCCATTTGCATCTCTGGGACAGCTTTGAAAATAGCTTCACACATTTATATGGAGATGTATTTCTGCACAGAAGTGTGAAAGAATGCCTTCCTGGGCACTGTCAGGGGATGATCATGACTCTAGGGCTAGATGTTCCCACAGTTCTTCCCTTCCAAGGACAGCATGTTGCAGTCTGTTTCCTCTTTAAGGAGTGCCCCAGTTGGTGGCTCTCATTAGTTTGCCTAGCGAGGGAGTTGTCACGGGCAGAGACCCCTCGCAGCCGGCCCAGCCACCTGGAGTTACCTGGGACAATGTCCAGGACACACAGTGCAGGAGGACCCGTGCCACCGCCGGGTTGCTAGCCAGTGCTCTATTTCTAGCACCTCCTGTGCTGCCATCTGGGGCGATGGCTGTAACAGTACCTGCAGCACAGAGCCCAGGGAGGGGAAGCTACTGGTGCACGAGAGAGGATGACGTACAGGGCCATATGGGCACACGAGGCTGCTGAGGTCTCCAGGGGCTAGGGCAGCGTTGCCTTTGTTCTAGCTGAGAGCTTGATACAAAACTTCTTCTGCACTGGGCTGGCATTTCTGCTCTCACGCTGACCCTGGCACGGCATTAACCATTTCTCTGAGTCGCCTCCCAGCACGGCCGCTCCTCCCCCAGTCCCAGCATCAGCTCTCAGTTCTCAACCCAAGACACGTTCCCAGTAAGCAATAGGCTTTTTTCTCTTTCTTCCCCAGATAAAGTACACATAAGAGTAAAACGTACACCACACAAAAGATGCTGCAGAGGGATAAACAGACAAGATGACAGATGACTGCATAATTAAAGGGTGAAATGGCTGAATACCTGGCATAATCTCCACAGCAAAACTGGGCAAGAGATCAGCAAGCAGCCCTGTCCTGCCTAGAAAAGACAGAAGGAGGAGAAGAAGGAGAGAGGTTACTGCAAGAAAAACACACTTCCCAGCCCCTGCCTTTGCCACCAGTCCCCTTCCTCATCAGCCCACTCACACCCCTGGCAACCACAGATGTCATCGTGCTCAACGCCTGGTGTCTGCCTCAGCACCTCTACCATTTCTCTGCCCATGCATTTTATCAATTTCTCTCTTCACCAGCAGTGCTTGGGCGGAACAGAGCTTCTCTGAATTAGGCACAAAATGACAAGAAGAGGGGGGTCCCCTTAGTGTGATTAGAAGGTAGCATCTTTCTGGAGTTATGCCCTACACATGCAAAACCCTCCTGGAAATACACAACATCCCTCCAACAGAAAGATTTGGTTTACTTTAAAAATATACTGATGCAGTTTGAATGGAGGTGCAACATCTTTAACCCATGTGGCCCCTGACAGCCACATGCATTCAACACCCACAGGTGGTGCCCTCCCTGTGGGGCTCTGCAGCTCCAGAGACAGCTCCAGGAAAGCCCAACTGTGAGTATGTGCCGCTTCTTTCCAGATGCACGAGCAGCTTGGTGAGGCTGTATAATATAAAGCCAACTCTGGAGTGAAGCAAACCAACCAGGGAAGGACTCGTGTACAATTTCACAGAATCATTTTGAAAAAGGAAAAGAAAAAAAAATAATTTGACTTTTAATTTAGAACTGAACACAAACAGAATCCAAGCTCAAAGGCAGCTTGGTGCCTATTTGTTTTGGCACTGTGCGTCTGGGATATTTCTAATACACAGCAAACATCCTACACAGTGTTCAGCTATAATTCACACACACTTGTGCATCAGCAGAACAGGACTGTGTGCAGTTGTGTCCCTCTTTTAAATAGCACCAGGATCATGCTCAGTTTTTTTCAGACATGCTAGAAGGTAGGAGAGCTGTGCTCTAGAGAGGCATACGTTGTGGCTGGACCTTAGCTGATGCAGCTGCGGGTTAGCCAGTGAAAAAGGCAGTAGAAAGCAACCCCACGTGTCCTCCAGGTCCCGCACTGAGCAGCGCTCAGACACAATGATGAATTGGGTCCCAAGTTCCTCGGCCTCAAGCCTGTCCTTGAAGTGTGTTATAATAAAAGAGATTGCCACTCTCTGTTTTTCCTCAGTGCTGCAGCTGAGCTTCTGTAGAGATCAAAAATCCACCAGGATGCCTGCTGGAGCCATAATAAACATCCTCTGAATACAGGCAGTGCTTTGCAGCCAGTTGCAACTCATCAAAGCTGTCTAGGGCTCGTTGTACCACCACCACGAGGTGCTGCCGAAGCCTTAGCAAACGACACGGTTCAGGCAATTGTTCCTCATTTACTACTTCGAAACAGGACTCCTGCCATCCACCTACTGCAATATTTTCATCTGCATATACAAAGAGTTTCACGACACTGGTAGTCCATTTGCTGGAAGGCTCAAGTGTCCAAACTGCTCACAGGGAGCTTGTTAAATGAGAGCACTTATGCATACTCTCTGCTCTCTAGATATGAGCATGCACGTTACATGCACAGGCTAAGTGCTGGGTGTCACAAGTGGGCTCCAAACGTATGCCTTGTGTTGAGATGTACCACATTTACACTATGTTCCATACACACATTAAATACATCCTCTATTTTCTCAGCATGCACAAACAACATGCAGTTCTTGTGCAGGACTCCGCTCCTGCCTGTGAACAGCATACACATGGGCCACGAGCTCACAGAGCATCGAGGCAGACACCTCCACACAAGCTTGTGTGTAGTCCTCGCCCGACAGCAGATGTCAGTGTCCAAACAGCTGGAAGTAAAGCCCTAATGGGGTTTGGGGTGGCAGAGGTCAGGTAGCAACAGCATAGAGCAAAAGCTCCATCTTGCTGGCCCAAGAGGCTGCCTGCTTTGTTTTCAACCTACCCAGAAAGCCTCAATCCCTGCACGTGCTGGGGCCTCATGACCCCCAGGAGGAACTAACTGCGTGTTCAAGGGGTAAGCAGCATCCCTCAGAAACAGCAGTGCTGTTTTTCACAGCAGTGCTGTGAGAATTTTGGCTACAAAGACAACTGGGGGCTCTGTCCCCATCCCAAATTAATTCCCCATTAATCCTTCTCCCCACCGCCAGGTCCAGGAGGGTGAGGCCAGGCCTGGCCACAGGGACGAGGCAGAAGGCTCAGGCCAGTGCCCCTCACAAAGGCTGACCTTCCTCTTCTGCCAGCAGCAAGGAGCAAAGCCAAAACACCCCAAAGCAGACCACAGGTGCCAAGTTGCAGTGCTGCCCACCATCCACAAGGGCTCTGTGTCCTCTGTACAAGCCCCCGCCCCTGAGCCCCCACAGGCACTGCGGGATGCAAGAGGGAATAGAGGATATAGAGGACGGCCCCATTTACCAGGGTCGTCCAGGAGGCTCTGACTGAGCCAGGAGCGTGTCCTCATCCCAGCACGGATCTGGGACACGTTCCCATCTCTATTCCCACCGCACTGGAGGCTGCGCTCCCCCCGCAGCAGGCACCCCTTGTGCCCCAGGCCTTGGTCAGCCCTGAGGGGGGAGGCAGCCCGCCAGCCTCCAATGCTGTGGCAGAGGAGCATGGCAGGAAAAGTGGAGGAGAAAGGGGTGAGGGAAGAGCTGAGGGGGTGCAGTGTGGGTCCCGACGGTGCAGAGACACAGGGGGCACGTGGGGACAGCAGTCAATACACAAGAGGAGGGCGGGTGGCAGCACGAGGGTACAAACAGCAGCAGCTCAAGGAGAAGCAGGAATCAAGCAGCTACTTAGCAAGAGTCTGCAGAGAAAAGACACGACAATAATTAGGGAAAGTGGTACAGCTGAAAAAGAAGTGACGGCAGGAATGAAGGAGGTGCAGGTGCAGTCAGGAACACGGCAATAGGGTAAATACAGGAACATGGTAAACACTGGCGACTGCATAAATACCACAAATATTGGGTAAATACGGGAATAACTGTTGAATTGGTGTCCCTGTTGGAAACCACCTGCAGCAGCAGGGCCCACGGGAGGCAGCAGCTGCAGAGGGAACAATTCCTTCCTCAGAGGCGGAAAAATGTGCCAAGCCATGCCACGGCCAGAGGCCTTGGCACGGGACGCTGCCCCGAGGGGAGGCTGGAAAGCACCGGGGAGGAAGCGTGGCGCCTGTAAACCCGCCGCTTCTCCAGGGAAGCTGCTGCGAGATTTATTGGGAGAGCAGGGCTCCGCAGCGAGTAGGGCCCTGTAAACTTTATCCTTTCTTCCCATCCTTCTCTTCCCTCTTTCACTCGGAGGGAGAAACAGCAGCAGCCCTTCTCGGAGATCAAAGTTTTAGCAGGCAACAAAGACCTCCGAGGAGGCTGTTGCCATGGCTGCCTTGGTAACGGAGGCCTTTTAATCACGCCAGCCTCCTTTGTGAGCAGCGTGTGGCTGTCGCTGGCAAATAGGCAGGAAAAGAGGGGTAAAAAAAAAAAAAAAAAAAAGCCTTGGCAACAAGTAGCACTTGTAAATGGCGTGAAATAAAGAACCAGGAGCGGCCTGGCCTGGGACGAGCGGGATTGGACCGCGGTGACAAAGGAGGCAGCGCAGCGGTGCGGGGCAGGGCAGGAGCAGTGGACACAGGACGCCCAAGGAGGATGAAGGACGTGCGTGCCGGGGCTGGGGGGAGGCCAGCAGCCTTCCTGGCCTCCAGGCCTCGGCCAGCTTTCTCAGCAGAGGCTCCCATGCCCGTAGCTCCCTTCGCCTGCTGGTGCTACCTTGCCTTCGGTCGCGGAGGCACAGCTCAAGGTTGGAGAGCCCTCGCTGGGACACTGCTCGCAGACACATCCCCGGCAGAGATCTGGCCCTCTGGTCCCCAGCACGTGGCTGATAGCACTGCCATCCCCGCCAACTGCTGCGACCAAGTGCTGGCTCCGATGCTGCTGGCAGCCTCTCAGTGAAACGCAGCGCATCCCAAAATTGTCATCTTGGATGGGAAAATTTTGCCAAGAACTTTCCCATCTCCGAAACCACATCAACTTTTATAATGAAGTCTCTCCTGGCAAGGAGGAGACTCCAAACCTCCCTTTATTTATCCCAGGTATTGAGTCATTTTGCTGAGTAAGAGCCATCTTATTAGCACTCCTTGCCATACACTCATGTCCCAGGAGAGACTTATCCTCTCTGAAAGCCAACGCACGTCTCTATTAGTGCATTAGTTACTGTACAATGTGCTGTGTGTATGTGTGTCTACCTTCATTCCTACCTATAGGTATTGCACTTGATAAATTTTGGGTTTAGACTGCATCAGTATTGGCTAGTAATACAAGTTACCACAGATCTTGGTTTACCAATCAGGTAAGTATCTACTGACTTCAGAATTTAAGAAAAACTCATGTGCTAAAACACAATAATGATAGAAGCTGAAGCATCTGAAAGATTACTTATAAAATAATATTTCACTAATATATCATTTATGCAGGCTGCCGAATTGGATGGAGAAAAAGTAGGCAAGAGCTGTCTGGCAAAGCACATGGCTCACCAACCAAAGCATGAAACCAACAACCAGGATTAGTAGATCACTTTCCTGCCTCATCCAGGAACTTGACGTATTCTTGGGAATGAAGCCGCTGTGTCTTGAAGCATGTCTAAGCAATGCATGATCTCGTCAAGCAAACATTTCCGAGCCTGCACAGACCTATGCATTTCAGGGCAGCCAGTTGTGCCTGCCTACACCTACAGCCATTGCCCTCCAGATATTAACAGCCTGGGAGGGGAGCAGCACAGCTGCTTTCACAGGACCCCGCAGCTGATTAGTGAATTCTGGCTTTTAGAAAGGCTTACTGGGTTATATGCAGTGCTGTGCAATCAAGCTAGACAGCTTCTCAGTGTGAGCTGGGCCACATGAAGCTAGGACAGGGTATCTTCTGGCACCGCCCTGCACTCCTGATTCAAAGGTTACTCCAGGTGCCTGCATCCACTGTGGCGGTGCACTCGCAGTTTCCTTCAACAATGAAGGAAATGCTGCGCTGAATGACTTTATTAAAGCCCACGGATGTTCTCATACAAAAAGCATTCATAGGTGCTATGAATAACAACTTGATTAATAGCACTGTTTGTGTTTCTAGAACCAGGTCACTCCACTGCTAGCTACTAAGACAGAAATGTAGACTTTTTTAAATTTAGGATTCAGCCTTTTTGGCTCAATCATACATCAGTTCTAAAAAAAAACGTATGAAGTTGCAAATGGATTCACTAGCCCAGATGTAATGCCTGCAAAGAGTTTTAAAATTCTAGTAAAATACAAGTGCAGCAAGCCTCAGATGATTCCTGTTGTGCAATTGCTAAGCCCTGCATTAACCCTGATGCAGCAGAAGTGGAGTTCATACACTTTCCAGCATGCTAGACCCTGTTAGGAGATGCCAAATCAAAATACAAATATTTGATAAAAGCGTAATAATACTTTTATATTGAAATTCTCTCCTTTCTCTACCGTAGGTTCACTCTCTTTCTGTGCTTCTGAGGCACAGAGGTTACCATCCCACTTCCCTTGCCTGCACCAATTTCCTTAATAAGGAAGGAAGACCCTGATAAGAAAAACCTACTGAAAGGTCTTTTCAGACAAGTACGTGAGCACACAGTTAACATCAGGTATGCTTTATAAAACCTGCCAGCTTTGCTGGGCATGACTGGACGTACATAAATGCTTATGTGCTTTTCTGAAATAGGCCTGAAACGAAGACAGCACGTGGGATTCTCTGCAGCTACCTGCAGTTGCCCAGTCTGTGTGTGCGCCAATGTGACTGACACACTAAGGCAACAAAACTCAACATGCAATCCCACCACGACCTAGGCAGACTGGCTACTTAGACTCCATCAGAAAACTGTAAATAGAGCCAGAAGTCTGTGATTATTTCCCTAAGAAAAAAAAAAAAAGGAACACTAATTTATTTCAAGTTGTGACAAAGCAGCTTTTGACCATGTGCTATGTTGTGATTCACCGTGTAAAAGCAGGATCCTCTACTTTCAGCTAAGTTTCTATCCATCTATTGACACTACTAGGCACCTACCATTTTTGCCTCTCAGACCTTCCAAGGTTCTGAGCGAGACTAAACTGTCCTGTGAAACAGCATCTTTCTCTGACCTAAACACACCTGTATCTCTTCGCATTAGTATGCAGCAGCCCCAAAACAAGCAATGTAAATTGTATCTGAAAGACCACTGCCAGCACAGAGCAAACAGCAATGTGCTGTGGGAATGGCAGTATCTCTTGCAGACACTATCTCTCTGATCCTCCAACCCCTCTCACAAGGAACCTGGGTTCCACTCAAAGAGCAGCAAACAGTAAACAAAAATTTCTTACCATGTGTCTCCTAGGACTGCTAAAGCACTCACATCTACATTTATATTCAGTGTCTCCCTGCAAGTCACTAATATCTGGGAGCACAATGATATGAAATAAAAATGTCCCAGAAGGTGCCAGAATATTCAGAAATGGTAATTTCACCAATGGCTGCCTCCTCCTCCTCCAGCCATCACTGGGAGAGGGTAAAGGAAAAGAGAAAAAATACCAGCATAGGCAGAAGGAGAAGTCTAAGGTGGGAAGGGGAAGAAAGGAAGGAAGATGATTAGGTAACCTGGACTCACTCCAAAAGCTGGAATGTTGCCTCTGTACACATTGCCCAGGAAAAGGAATACACACAGGCTGCACCAAACAGCATGAGGCAGAACAAAGTATGCCCACGACAAGTATGTTTTCATGCTGCTGCCAAACTTAGCTAAGCGCTGCACAAAGTGCAAGGTCAGACCCACGGGCTGCAATGAACAGAAAAGCAGATGCGGTCAAGATAATATAGCCTAAGTGATGTTTCCTCCCAACAAGACCACCACAAACCAGGGCCAGGAGCATCACCAAGCCAGCTTCAGAGGAAGGGATTTCTTTGTTTTCCCACACGTAGTCCTCTGTACACATGAAAACCAGATTCTCCCTGTTACCATGGCACTGTATCATCACTGGTGCCTGAACGCAGTTGTAGATACAGATACGAGAAGACACCAAATCATGGCAAGGAAGGTGAGGAAAGGACAAAATTCAGAGTCACAGTCAGCTCCTCTGAGGCTACCTGACAGCTACAGCTCCAAAGGGCAGAGAGAACCTCACCTGAACTAAACACAGGTCAACCTTGGGCCTGTTATTAACCAGCACACGATACAAAGGCACGCTGTGGATTTAAACGAGGGTATGACACCGCTTTTTGGAGGAACTTATTCTCCAGCTGTCTGCCACCTGAAGGAATAAGTAGAGGAGATTGCACTGTCCCTAACCCATGCCATTCCATTCGATTTATTTTGTGATGGCATCTCCAAATAAAAATGTCAAATAAATTCTCACCTGAGCCTTGAGATTAAGGCCACTTGACAGACGTGTTCTACCGTATGCCTCCAGGTATCACTACACACTACAGACCCAAGATTTTTTAACATCACAGAATGTACAGAATCTGTACGCTCAAAAACCATACAAAGACACTGACCAGGCAAACACTGGTGTCAGCAGATCTTACAGTAAGTTAGAAAAACCTCATTATACCTTTCTTCAGCAGTACAGCACTACAGTTGGGTTAAAACAAACTTAACAAATGCCCCTGAAGGCTCAATTCCATTCTGTCTTCTCTCGTAGCTGGGATGGGTAATTTTTTTAACCTACGGAGAGAGGCAGACTGTGGAAGCCAGGGCTGAAAGCTAATCCCACAACTAGGTGGGACCACACTGCACGAGGAAGCCTAAAAGACACACACAGAGCCACGAGTGCATACTGCAGAGAAGACAGGTCCTTGTAGTGGCAGCACCAGCTGAGACCTGACTGAGATTGGGGAACTGTAATTCTAAACGTACAAGTACAATTAGGCAGGCAGAAAAATATCCCAGATTGCCACATTCAAGCAGATAAACACAGTGCTTTTTGACATCCCCACAGGTCAGAAAAGTAGAGCCAAGGGAAGGTTAAAAGACTGCAAAAAGCATACGATTTGATGTCTTCTGGGTGTCTATTTTTGAAAGACTCAATCTCAAGTGTTCACTTTGCTGCAAGTTTATTGTTTTGCGCCTTAAAAACAAGGGTTCTGACTTTCCCCAGCCCTGCACTTTCTGTAGTCATTTACGCCTGTGTAATGTGTGAGCAGCGTGGGTGTAAACATTACTATTCTGGTTTGGCAGCATTTGCCACCCACTTTGCCTAGGTGTGAATGACTGCACAAGGTGCAAGGCAATGGTGAAGGTACTGCGGGGACTGTTTTACATAGATTTTACACCCATAGTAATATGGTGCGCAGATATGCGGAGAGGGAGGGAGAGAGCGGAAGGAAAGATGCATCAGCTATTGACCCAAGACTCAATCTGGCAAGAGGGCTTACCAAGTACAAGCAGCTCCACTGATTCTTCATTCTTGCCCTCCACATCATCTGGTGTGATGATAAGGCAGTAATAGAGCCCACTGTCTCCCCACATCAGCTTCCCAATCTGAAGGTCTGCATCTGAAAGGCAAAAACAAAAAGTCAGGGGTTCCCTCCAACACCAATCGGTGGCGTGGGTCTGTCTCCGAGTCCCAAATCCAATTAATTTCCTTATGAAGATGAGTGGTTAACCTCATTCAGAATATCAAGAAATTCACAGAAAAATACACAGATGTGGGACTCCGTGGCAGTAAACGGGAAGACAAGTAATGCCACAGAGGAAGCTCACTCTGCAGGCACCGAAAGCAGAAGGGATAACTAATGTTACTCTGCCTTCCCATTACCACATTCGTGCCATTCAAGAAGGGATTAAACAGTTCTTCCTCTGCAGCACTTCAGTTATCTGCCAAAAAGATCATATGGAGACAAAGGAAAGCACTCACCCTCGCCAAGGCTGATCACATGCTCGCCTCACCAAGGGGCCCTGGACTGCCCCCACTTCTGGCTAGGTGGTCTCCTGAGCAGAGCAGAAGCCTTACACATGTGACAGGGCAAGGTTTCTCACACAGACTCAGTCCAGGGCAAACATTTAAGGACCTGCCACCCGCCATCTCCACCCACGTTGGCTTCACCCCATGGAAATCTCTCCCACTACCCAAGGCTGTGTAGAGATTAGGTTCACAATGAGGTGAGCTGGTGAAGTCTAGAGCTAAATGAATATGAGGTGTAGGGCAATTTTCTTATTTTGAAAAAATCAGTGGAGTTTGTAAGAAGAAAAATCTAGCTCATAGAGACTGAAATTATACCTCTCTTGCTGGCGCCCCTGTGTGAAGGAAAATCTATATACAGAGCAATATGCAGAAGCCAGGAATAAAAAGCTTAGTTTTCATCAAAGGGAAAATAACACTGTAGCAGGGTTAGAAACCTACATAGAGCAGCATGAAGTGCAGCACCAAAAGAAATGACCTTTGGGTCCAGGGTTGGTTGGCTAAATCCTAAACATCTGTCATAGGAAAGTCTGCTGGAGGGGAGGGAACTCTTATAAGGAAGTTAACTCAACAATTACTGCCAGCCTCCAGTACCCCAGATTGCCAAGGATCAATTCCAGCCCCCATCACACATCCCGGGGGCAGGAGAGTTACCGTGGACAATGCTGACGTCCCGTTCCTTATAGAAGTCCCCTATGGTAACGGCAGATCCTTGCTTGGAGGCCACGACAGCGGACCGTCCTCCTGCTGTCCACACAGTCCAGGTAGGGATCCCAGTCCAGGTTCCTCTTGCTCATTGTCTGTACACCAGAAGTCGCCATGCCCAAAGCTTCTCCCATCCGGTCCTGGCAGTACGATTTATACCTCCATTGCACCACCGCTGGTTGGGTGGAAGAAGTAGAGAAGTGGCAGCGAAGCAGAGCAGGCTGAAACAACATGGCCACCTTCTTCTTCTCAGGCACGGTGACTTGCAACCCTTCCACCTCAGCTAAAAGACAAAAACACGAGCATCGTAACAAACATTGCTTGAAGAGCAGATTATGGCACGTTATCATAGCATCACTCTCCCCACGTGCATAAAATGACAGCATCACATCTCCTCTCTGAAGGGCGGGCAGCACGCAGCGCCGGCCCTGCACGCCGCCCCGGTGCCCAGGCACTGCTGCTTGCTCTGCCAAACTAGAGATGCAAGGAAGAGTAGATCCAAAGCGCATAGCTCCTGCTGTGGCTGGCATGTAGCGCTAAGAAAAATTGCTCCACATGGGAGGTGTGGAGAAAAATGGCCCAAACACTCAAGCTTTTCACATTCCCACGGAGGATACGGACCTCGACACGTAATGTTTATCTACCAGCTGACAGGAAAGCTGCAGCCTGGAGCTGATGTATTAAGGCTTCTGAGAAGATACATGGGAATGAAATAAATACAGGACTGCTGCCACATCCTTGTGTAGCTTCGGGAGAAGCCAAGAGACGGTGAGCAATGCCAGCAGTGAGCACTCGGGGGAGTGAGGTACTCCATCTACCCGCAGCACAATGTCCGAAGCCTCCCACACATGCCCCTCATTGCTTCCTGCACTGCAGGCAGCACTTACACAACGCTGCAAACACACACAGACACTTTCCCAAGCCTGGATGTGCCAGCCTGTGGAAGCACAGAAACAGCCCAGGAGCGAAGTGGGGCATCTGAGAGGGAAGAAGTTTGTAAAGGGGGTCTGCTCGCTGCTGCTGAGGAACATCGGGGCCCAACAGCAACAGTTCATATGGGAAAAGGGAATCAGTTTCAGTATGACAGCAGCTCCCTACACACAGCTGTGCTATACCCCAAGGCCCAGAGCAATGCACACTGAAAAAGAGGACAAGACACAAGGAAACTTTAAAGAGGAAAGCAAAAGAGGGCATTTACTTTGCATCACAAGAGACTGCTGGGCTTAGGTGAGGCTTAGGGAGGAATGCAAGACTGAGGACAAAGCAAGGCTTTGGGGGAAAGCAGTAGGAAAGAAGGGCAAATACCAGGAAAGAATAAAACATAGTGAAGTATTAGGATAAGCATAGGAAGCAAAAGGATAAGTAGACATGATAATCAAGGAACCAGCTGGAAAAAGCTGAAGGTGTCTTAGCCTAGGTCAAAATTATTTCAAAGAGCTGGAGCCAGGTTGCAGGAGATGAGGAAAACATGCAGAGAGGAAACAGTCAGCAGAAAATAAACCACCCGTTCCAGAAGCTGGAGATGAGGAGATGGAAGCTAGCAAAAGAACTGAAATGGCAGAGGAAGTCTTTAGGATCGGGGGAAAAGGCAGAGAGACAAAGCAGTGGAGCTTAATGCAGAGAGAACAGTAAGTACACCAACAGTATGACAACGGCGGGTCCAGATGGAGACAGCCACAGACCTGAAACGCAAAAGCAGGCAAAGGTCTCATGAGAAGGAGTCAGAACCACAGCGAAGTGAGAAGCTTACACCAACACTGAATATTCATCTCAGCAAGTTATCAACATCCACAGTATAAATCACAACAAAGCCTGCAAACACCACTCAGGTGATAAATACACAGTATGGGCACCAGCTAGGAAGAAAGCTTATTTGAGGGAGATAAACTAGTCACTGATAGCAACAAAGAGTTACTAATCGAGGCACAATCTGACCCTGGGGACTACTAAGCGAAGGCTCGCAGTGCACAGGGGTGCTACGGCATCCACAAGAGGAATGCTATATTATGCATATAATGGATGCATGGCATTATGCATACAGCACTTGTGCTATATGGAAATTGCACAGGGGACGTCGTGAGTGTTGATAGAAGTGCCTGGACCCAAATCCAAACGCTGATGTTCTCCAGAGTGCCATGAAAGGCAACTGGGGTCCCAGCAAGATGCTGCCACAGGAGAGGCAGCCCCTGAGGTGCAGGCAGAGACAACTCGAGCAGCACCAGCTGGGATGTTTCTGCCGGGCCTCCTGCTCCCAGGGCCAAAGGGGCAGAAGCAGGGGGGGCTGCACAGCACTCAGAGAAAGTCACCACGCGGTTCTCCTGGTGACATCTTACCTCCTCGCCCCCAGAGGGCCGTGCCCTTGGGGCTGCACGTGAGCCTGAGAGGCATGACAAACACCTTGCAAAACGAACGGGTCCCGCTCAGACCTACATCTGGCAGCTCTGCCTGACCCCACGCAGTCTGCGGCCAAAGTCGACGCATGACGTGAGCTGACCAAGTGACTCACCACGTTACTTCAGCTTCGGGGACAAAACAGTGACACGGGGAATATTTAAAGCTTCCCCCTGCGAGTGAAGTACGCCGCTCGGTAAACACAGTGCTTTCGGCTGTCTGTGCGCTGTAGCCCTCCTTCCCTGTTAATGAGATTAATGAGCTTGGCAAGCCGGGCTCCGCTTTAATAAATGATTAGCTGAGCTTTAGCAAATTCTCAGCTGACGAACTTTCCCCACCCCGCTCCCATGTGGATGTCTATATTGAGAAAAGAAACTTGTAAGCCGCTTTTGGGAAAACACAGGACTTCTTTCCAAAAGCATTTGGGAGATGCACAGTAAATTATCTGGCACCTTTTATATCCCATCCCAAGGTCTTTATTAACTTTTAAAGTATTCTTTTCGGACCTTTCCCAGAAATAGCATTTGAGAACAACCCAGTGCCTCAGACAGAGACTGGAGCAGTGGAAACTCTCAATCTATTTAAGTCAAATTGTATATAATTATATATGGCTGCCCTGAGAAATTATACACCTGTTATTTCCACTGCTAAAAAAAAATAAACATAAGAGAATCTATTCATGTAAGGTGTCACTGTTGTAACCACAGCCATCCAAAAGGCCAGGAAGACGCTAGGCTGCCTGAAGACAAGATGGGAGCTTTACACCTACCAGTTATGTCTACACACATGAATTACAGAGGTCTCCTTAGGACTTCCTCTAGTTCCAGAAGAAACTGCTGAACTCAAAAATCTTTGAGAGACTGGATGAGAGACCAGAAGCCTCAGGACAGAAATCTGCGTTGTTTATATCACGGAGCCAAAAAATAGGAAAAGATACAAAAAAGGATGACAAGCTTAGTGACAGCAGACTGTGGTTGCTCTTCATCTAGTTTAATACAAGCAGGACCATATTAATCAAGAACATCTTAAAAACACAAATACCCTCACTCTCAGAAAGTAAAAGGAATCTATATTTTTGTACGTCAGTGCATATGCACACGTAAAGAGCTTAAAAATATCACCCTTCAGAAACACACGTATGCTTCTTGTCTATTTCTCACGTGCTATGTGTATTTGCCTTTTTGTTTTCCTCTGATTCTTTCCCTAAACTATTCTCAGATTATGCATGCAAACGATGCAATCAACATTACACACAAACTATCCCTAATACATTTTAGCTGTGATTAAAGAAAATTCCAGCGAGTGATGATAGAGGGCTGTATTCATACGGGCACATTGGAGCCTTGTGAGACTGATCTTCCCGAGTACCTTCCATGAATAAAAAAACAGAAAGGGCAACTGAGAGGTACTAATTTAGGTTCTTGATTTTCAGTTGGAAAATCAAGGAGAAGCCTGTGCCTCCCTGAACCTAGATGAATCCCAGGAAGATTTAGCTTCTCTACATAGCCTTAAGCTAGCCTTTAGGAATACAATAAAGTTGATCAGAAGCACTAATCCCTGTAAATAACAACAAATCCAAACACCATAGTTCAATGTAATAGGTCTTAAACTGCATCCTTCTACTGAATAAGGTAAGAGTCCAAGAGAAGGCAGTACACGTTGTTCTTCAGGTCAGCATGGGTCTCCTTATCTGTGCATGCCGTATCTCTTCCTTTGCTATTATTTGGCCCACATCACCATTTGCCTGAGGCAGCATGGCTGATGCTATGAAACTACAGAAATTACACCCCTGAATTTTATGCATCTTTATGGGTATGAGTGCCAGATATGCATATGGGAGAACAGAAAGTCCTTACGCCCTGAACCCCTAGCCTACACTTAAGGGCTTAGGCAGAAAAACTTATGTTCATAGGTAAAAGTCAAGGGGCTCCTCCTGGTCTCTACCACTTCTGCAAACAAAATAAACTAATGTGTAAAAGGATGCTGCATCTGTTTCTATTGTGCCTTGGATACTGCACATCAACTGTAAGTATTCTTTCCCCTCCCTCCCCTGAATACAGGAACTCGGTCCACATTTTCAAATGTGGATCTAGCCTAACTTCGGACATTGAAGGGCTGGGCTTTGAGACTGGAAATCAGAGATGATATGCAGAGATGCAATCAAGTGAACAGAGAGCAAGCAGGATCACTGAGATAGCGTTGTACAGATTCTTGCCTACTCAGGCTGGGTTACATCCGCTCCATGCAATTAACCAGCAAAAGCCATCACCAGCAGACTGAGTAGTTTATGTGAAATTAATTACATGTCTTGGTCTAGTTGCTACCAGACTTGTGTTCTTAGCTCCATAGCCACTAATCATCAACTTTTTTAGCCAGCAGGAAACCAATGCCTAAATAGGTCAGCTGAGGTGGACAGACGGCACTGCTTTATACAGCTCCAAAGCAAAATAGAGACTTTCGGCTCCTAAACTGCTTAACCTGGGCAGGTGCAAAACCAAAGCAGTCGCAGGAAAGCACAGCCTTGCACACCCAGCACAGAACCTCAATACAAAAACTCTCCATTAAGGTACAGCTCAGACTCTGCAAACCTGACTGCAGTAGACTTGGACTTTCTTGCTCTTCCAGAACGACCACTCAGCAACCGGTCACCACCAGAAGCCTGAGAACTAAGGCAAGAGATGGAAAGAGTCTCTCCAAGCCTTGCAACAGTGAGCCATGACACCTGGTCTTGAGATGGCATTGGGATTTCCATCACTACCAGTCCTCCGCCAGGGTGATCTCCCAGGAACAAAAAGTAATGAAAATGTGAGGTTTCTTCCCAGCTACACTAAGCTTATGCTGGGTGCAGCCAATCGAGGGAAGTCAGATGAATAGTTTAAATCAAGATAGATCAAACAATCCATCCATTTTCCTGCCTTCCCAGGGAATCTGCTCAGTCAGCCAGGGAACAGCAAAGCACAACCATACTCCACTGTGCCCCTTCTGCCTGCCCTTCCAAACTGTGGAGGGGAAAGCAGGGTAGTAAATCTACCCACCTTTGTATTACACCATGGCTTTGCAGTGGCTCTTCTACACAGAGAAAGCAAACAGGCACTGAGTGCTACATTACTGGAGGAAAATGACTTCACAGGGAGAGGTCACATTTTAATGTCTACGGTCTCCTAACCATAACCTTTCCAGGCTCAGGCTGAGTCTTGAAAGGAAAAGAGAGTGTGCTCTGCCTGTTCTGTGGGTAAAACCAGAGTTCAGTCTCCAGTGCAACACTTCCCTCTAGTTTTAAATGCGTTAGGAATTACTGCATTAATAAGAATGATGGTAAACGCGAGGGGAAAATTCACCCCAGAGTCAAGCAGCACCTGGTAGTTTATGAGAACCAGCTTTACAGAGGGGCCTAGAGATACTTGACAAACTGTACCTTCTTTTTCCAACCTGGGTCAAATAGTCCTGCACTTATCCCAACCCACACCACTTCACACGAAGGTATAATGGATGACCTGCTCTTCATCCTTTTGCTGTTGTTATTAAAACACAAGCTTTAGGCATGTGGGAGAGTAGGGCAGAAGAGAAGCTGAACCAAGCCCATCATACTTCACACGGGATTTTTTTGAATTTGCAGTACGAAGTCAATGCAAAACCAAACAAAAGATAAACGCAAGAGCCAAAAATTAAAGACAAACAAAGGACAGAGAGGCATTATTGCTGGGAGGAAAGGAACTGCAAGTGCTGATTAGAAATTTCTCAGCCCACCTAGAGGAGGGAGGAGGGGAGAGCAGGGGGCGAGAGCCTCCCTCTCTTTCTTGCTCCCTTTTGTCTCCCTGCTTCCTCCCTGTCTTGCAGGCTCAGTCTCCTACCCTGGCCCCTCCACCTCCCAGCCCCCACTCCTCTTTCCCAGAGCAGAGCGCTGCTCCAGCTGGATTAGGGCTCCTTACCTCGATACAGACCTTTCATTCCTTTGCACAGCCACTGGGGAGAAGAAAATCTTGAATCCATGTTTGCCAGCCTCTCTCCCTTTTCCACGCACACGCTCACACTCACTCGCTCACACACACGCACCTTTGCTTATTTGCTTTCTTTGGGCCACAAAAAAAGGCCGGTGGCGCCTGCTCTATCCCTGGGTGGCAGCGGCTGGAGGGGAGCAAGCTGACACCGGCTGCCTCCATCTCTCAGCGCACGGCTAACCTGTTGCCTGCCAGAAGCCTCTGCCTGCCTGCGGTCGACACCAGCAACAGCAGCAGCAGCAGGCAGTCCTGTCGCCAAAGCCCAGGACTAGAGGAGACTGGAAGGTCTTCCTACCGCAGCGGTACCTCGCTCTGCACAGACCCTGCACGCTCCACAGGGCGGACGCTGCCAGCAATCACCAGCTGCCTCTAATGGAGGGAGAAAGGTGTCAACAGCCCAGCCTTTTAGCTTGATGGAAAAGTCCTGATTTGGCCAGACACGTCCAGATAACGAAGCTCTTTAAAAAGAAGGAGGAATGTAACGTGTTTATCTACACCTTGCGCCCCGTTCCCAGTCCCTGGATGCTATTTATCGGCACGCTACTACAGCGAGTAGGGAAGGAGCGGTAGTTGTGGGTGCGCTGGCACTCCAGACCAACTCGCAGAAGTGGGATACATTCGGAAGCAGCCAAATGGCAGGGAGGGAGGCGGGGAGGGAGGGAAGATGAGCCCCAGATGAGGCCGTGAAACCCTGGAAGGGAGCAGTAGGCAGGCACCAGCGCTGAAGATGACTCAGAGTGAAAAAGCAAGGAAAGGGGTGGGTGGGTGGTGGGAGAGAGGTGTTATGACTAAAAGCCGAATTTACTGCTTGTGAATCCTAAATCTGAAGAGGAAGAGGGAAGAGCCTGAGGTCTCCTTTTTTTTTTTTTTTTCTTTTTTTTTTTTTCTGGGATACATCGGTGGCGGTGTGAAATCCAACTGCTTCCCCGAGCCTGTAGCCAGCCTCCCCGGCTCAGCCAGCCTGCTGCAGCCTTTTCCACAGCCTCCTGCGCCCGGCTGCTGCTCCGGCCAGGAGGCACAACCACCCCCTGCTGCCCTCCCCTCCCCTCCCCTCGCTGCCCTCAGCTCAGCCCCTGCCCTTCCCCACCCCGGAGCCCTGCTGTGCTCCCCCCTGCCCGGGGGGCCCGGGGAGCCGTGCCGGGGGGGTCAGGCCCGGTCCGGGACTCACAAAGGGCCCCACAGGCCGGGTCCTGACCCCAGCCCCGACCCCAAGCCCACCGAGCCCGGGCAGGGCAGGGCAGGGCAGGGCAGGGCAGCCCCCTCCCCACGCTCTTGCGCTGCGCAGCTGGGACAGCGGCGGACAAGTTCCCCCGATCGCTCCCGACCCTCTGGCGGAGGAGATTTCCCCCTCAAAGTCTCCCCAAAAAACCCTCCGGGAGCCGTCGGGGCCGCCCCCCGCCTACCTGCGAGCCAGAGCAGGACGATCCAGCCCAGGACGTGCCCCTCCATCTTCTGGCGGGCCGGCGGCCACCATGCCGCGGGGGAGCCGCTGCCCGGGCTGGCTGCGTGTGGCGGGGCTGGGATCGGCTGGGATCGCCTCAGCACGGCTCGGAGCCGCTCTGCACGGCTCGGATCGGCTCCCCTCGGCTCCTCCCCCGCCGCCGGGGCCGCCCCCGCCGCTGGCCGGGAGGCGGGCAGGGGGCCGCGGCCGTAATTGCCGTCATTTTCGGGGGAGCGGAGCTGAGGGGGAGGCGTCCCGGGTTGGGGTTTATGGCTTTCAGGCCAAACACGGGGTTGGAAGGGGAGGGAAGATTGTCCCGAGGGAGCTCGCCGAGTAGACGTGGTGCTGTGGGAGATGGTTTTGTAAGGGGGCGGGTGGTGCTCCGAAATGAACGCGGCGCGGCCCCACATGAGGACACGGCGTGCTCCAAACTTGTGGACTCCGGGCCAGAGAGAAAGAAGGCGGTGGGAGGCTGGGGGGGCTGCTCAGGGGCTCCGAGCCGACTAAACAGCGACTTGTTTTCACAGAATCGTGTTTTCACAGAATCACTAAGGTTGGAAAAGACCTCCGAGATCATCTGGTCCAACCATCACCCTGCCACCAATGCCACCCGCTAAACTTTTTTGGTGTGTCCGCACCAAAGAGAAGCGCCTTCCAACACGGCCCTCGCCCACACAGCTCCCCTCCGTGTGCTGCTCATCCTCGAGGCGTTTTCTTCCAGGGGCTTGGCTTGCATTTGTAACCGAAGCGTGGATTCTGCAGATGTCAGTGACCCACATGGGAGAAGGGAGTGGTCTTCAACCTCTTCTCATCCGAAATCTGCCAAAGAACATAAACAATCCTGATTTTCTAACACCAAGGGGGAGCAGAGCGAGGTGTGTCCCTCTGCTAAAGGCACCCTGCAAGTGATGCCTGCAGTAAAACTTTATAAGCTCTTTGCATTCTAGCAGGTATTTTCCAATTGCCTGTAGATTCCTTTTAATTTTGCCTTTCAGACTGAACTTCTCTACAGGCAAAAGAAGCTTTTTTCAAAGCAGTGAGCAAAAATAGATCAATAATTTCCAAGTGAAAAAGCAAAACAGCATGTTTGCTGTGATAAAAGATGTGTTGAAACATTTTGGTTGTTTTTGAACAGTTGTAGTTCCTCTGCTAATGTAGTTATAGTGGATTTGGGCAAGGAGACAATCCCAAGGCAGCCGGTCTGTTTTTAAGTGTTTTATTCCAAGCTATTCAATGTTATTTAAAAATACACTTCAAATAGAAGTTTATTTTTATTCAGCATTACTTAAGAAGAAGTAATAGAGAAGAAATACACACCCATCCCCATATAGTCTCCTGACCTTTTGGGGCTCAGAAGGTTCCTCTGACCCAATATATTAGTTTAATTGTTTTGCAGTACCAGCTAAAAGCCACAATTAAGAACTAAGACCTCACTATGCAAATAGCATAGGTACCCAGCAGCACAGTGCTGTTCTCCTTCAGCTCACAGAGATCTGACACCTGACTGCCCTTGTGCATACTCACAGCTGAAAGGCAAAGTAGAAACTCTTATTAGAGCTGCAACTTCAGCCTCAAGAAATACATGGAGTTCCAGAAAACTCACGGTGCCGTGATACTTCAGAACATCTGAGTGCTTACCTCACCATGATTAAACATCTGTAGCATACAATCCATGAAGGTTTGTATGCACTGAACTAATGCTCCTAAAAGGTGAACACAAAGCTATTTTTTGTCTCCCTCCCTCAATCATTTTTCTTAATAACCCTCAAAAATTCGAGTGAAATCCCTGTGCCTTGCCTTTCTGTAACTTAATTGGGCAGGAGGCTGAACCAGTTTCCTGAGACAACGTTGATGTGATATTATCTCATATGTTAAAGGTTGGGAGTAGGACAATCCCTTATGTATCACTATTGTTAGCTACTCTCAGCTTTTTTTTTTTTTTAATCTACTCCAGCCTTTGCAAATAAATTTGGCATACAACGGTTTTGCTAAACTTTTGACTCACAACAAAGGAAGGAAAGATTTTCAATACATGGAAGCACCATTGTTTTGCATGTAACGTTAGATTTATAGCTGCTTTGAAATTTTCATATATTCAAACTCAGTGTACGGTTCTTTTTCATGTAAAGTGAGCTGTCATTTGTATATATACATGTATGATGGATTAATAGATGTCTGAGCCTGGAATAGATGTTCCAGATCTCTGTAGACCTTTGATCTGAATATTGCAACATCTGCGCTGGCTTAATAGGTAACATAGGGATGTTGGCTTTCATTTTAGCCAAGTCTGGTAGACAGGAAGGTGCACTACTGCAGTTAGCCCCATTTCACCTTCGGACAGTGCGTGAATTCCTAACCAGTTACCCAGATCACTTCAACCTGCAGTCCAGCAGGGATTCTTTGTCCCCTGATAAACAGTTCCCTGGGGCTGTCCTGCACAATTTAGCCCCAGACTGAACTGGAAGAATACCACTCTACAACACTGTTTGGTAAGTGATACCTCAACACCAGCTGGGAGCAGTTCTCTAAGCAATGGGATCATGCAAAATTCAGTTGAGCAATACAGAAACAAACAAACTCACTTCTTGTTACTCACGCTGTAGTAACTGATGGCTTTCTTCTCTTCTTGCAAACTACTTAATTCCTCCCTTCCTTCTTTGATCTTCCAGTACCAGTCTTTTGTGGTCATTTGCTCTGTTGATAAGCAGAATCAGCTTTTTAGTATGTTTCCAGGATCTGGAATGATATACACTAGCACCTCACTCAGAATGATCCATCTTGGCAACATCCCCAAAAACCTGACATGTCGCATGAAAATATTTCTCTTCATGAGTACTTTTGTATATCCATTCAGCTCCCTGAATTTCCTTGGTAGAAATTACCATACAAACAGTTTTCAACAGCTTTCTGGGATGTCATACTAGATTCAGCCATTAGGCACTATTCTCTTGATTTAGTACTGAGACCAGCACATTACAGAAGCTATTAAGTGACACATCATCAAACCACAGTGTTTAGTGAGTCTCTTCAGAATAGCTACTAACTAAAACTTTTCCTCGTTTGCTTTGTTACCCTGGAATCTCTTATTAATCTTCAATAGCTTCACAGCAAGACATTGCAGAAATATATGCATTCTCTCTGTATATGCTATTTTTTCTCAGCTGCCTGGCTACATTTGATCGCACAATGATATGGAGCTTTTACTTCCCATTAACATCAGGAGTGGGTGATATGGATATATAAACTGCTTTTGTTCTTAACCATGTCGTTTGTAACAACTAACATTTAAAATGCTTAATGGAGAAACTTGATTTTCTCATTCCAATGAGAACACAGAATATGCGTATCTGTAATATCAATTCAGCATTATACAAAAAAAAAAGAGAACAGCATCTTTCTACAATACTCACTCCTCCATACGAATTTCCCATGCTGTTCCTGATTCTTTCTTAGACACCAAAAATCACAGTTTCTATTTGCTATGCTTTGAGATGGGACCTAAAATTTGCACTTAAATAAAATACTAAGTGCATATCAGCAGTAATGTTTTGTGAGGTTAGGGTACA